AGCACCCCCCTGGCTGATCTCGCCGAGCTGAACAAGAACAAAAGTTCCTAATCTCGCCGTACACACGATTAAGCAAAGTTTGCTTCTTGATGTTGCTAGATTTTTTCTGCTCTTTTATACTGACAAGAGTAGTACTCGGATAATTTTTGAAGATTAGTTCATATGCTATTATCTTTGGATTCGCTAGCTGAACAAGAACAAAAGCTCCTGATCTCGCCATACACGCGATTAAGCAAGGCTATCTTCTTGATGTTGCTAGATTTTTCTGCTCTTTTATATTGACAAGAGTAGTTCTCGAAGAATTTTTGAAGATTTTTGATGTTGCTATTCTCTTTGGATTTGCTAGGTTTAGTTAATTCTAGGTAGTGGGTATTCATATGTGTGTGTTTTTAGATGATTTATACCCAGTGCAGAGAGCTTCCGCTCTGTGCGGTGTCTAGGGAAGAGTGTCAGTGGCAAGCCTTACCCTCGCCTGTGCAATGTGAGGAGACCGCAACTCGAACTTGGGACCTTCCGGTCACAGGCGGTAAGACTCTACCGCTGGCACCAGGCCCGCCCTTCTTAAGTGCACTTCTGCTTGTGCCCAAAAAAATCTGAACTGCACCATGGTGTATGTCTGCATGTTTTCAAAAATTAGATTTGACCATGGATTAGTATCACAGTTGTGGAAATAATAATACAATTAAGATCATCTTTTTCCTTTTTTAATTCCAATGGACCCTTGTGCTGTAGATTGGGAAGATCAATGTGAATTGATATTAGAACTAGAATGCAATTTGTGAAGACTGGTTTTTACTCCATTTAGCTTGCAGGTGAAAAGGTCGTTGAGTCAGTTCGCTTCTGCACAATGGAATAAAGATCAGTGGCGTCCTTTCATGGAGCCACTATGGTTCATCAAGTCCTGTTCCTATGTGTTGTCTTCATGACCGCGGAGCTTAACATATTCTTCCTCAAGTTCTGTCTATGCATCCCTCCAAGGAATCCCTTGGTTGTTTATAGATTGATCCTCTGGTGATTAGCTGATTGCTATTCCAACCATCCGTGAGTACAACTCCTACTTAAAAGACGGGTTAGCCTAAGAATGCTATTCAGTTGTTATCAACATCACACATGAAAAAAAAAAATTAACTTTAATTTTTGATCGGTTACTTCTACCAAGTCTGGGTTTTGATCATCACAGCAAACCAGTCAAGAAGTTTGGAGCCTTTTGTTGGCTGTCTGTGGCTATATATGCATATTATTAGAGCTTCTTATCTCATCATCTGCATGAAGCTCGGGCATGGTGAGCTTTCTCTTTTCACCTTTCTTGTCAGGTAGTATAGCACTGTCGGTAGTATACAATATGATGTATGTTTGGGAGGAAAAGAAAAGAAATACTCTGCAAATTGTTTGCCTGAACTTCAAGTATTGAACAGTCTGATCAGGGTTTTTTCTTAACCCAAGCATACCAGGCAGATGATCTTTCGGAGAAAGCTTGGGATTGCACTTGTGATTTGTTGCTTTCATGGTCATGGAGGAGTCACAAAAGATTCAGGAGAAAGCGACTGTGATATACAAATCTCAAGCCATTTCAAACTCATCTTTCTCTCTCTCTTTTTCTAGAGGTGATATACATATATATCCGCTTGTAGTTCAGTTTTGGGTAGAAACAAATGTGGCAGCTTAGCTTTGTTCAATATAAATATAAAAATTTAGCAATGGTTATACTGATATTTTAATGGTTATCAGTTGGATCATATCGGATGGCTATGCTTTGATTTTCTTTGGTTGCTACTTCTGCAAGAACAGGATATAATGAAGTCATAAAGCAAGTTTATTTAGTGGAGTATCATGTCTTCGATGCTCAAATTGCTTGTACGTGTCTCTTTTTTTTTTTTGAATGTCACCGGGGGGATTACTCCCCACCTGAATATATATTCAAAAAAGCCCAAAACGGCTCGTGTAAGATTTACAAAAAGTTTAAGGAAGAAAAACACCATTTCAGGACACCAAGCGCCAGGTAAAAAGAGGCACAACCACAGAGAAAACACTAGCGAGAGCAAGGACTGCTACACCAAGGCACATGAGCTCTTCAACGATGCCTCCAGGGAGGTGAATGACGCCATGACGTAATCATCGTTAGCCAAGTAGAGGCTTGGCGAGGCTTTCGCCCGAGCCATGTGCCGAGGAGAAACAGCAGCAAAGGTTCTTCAGCGACGCCTTCAAGAAGGAAAAACTCGTCGCTGGCTCAGAATGACCTAAGCTGAGCTTTCGCCTAGAACCTTCGCTCCCGGACACAGTGAGAGCCGGTAGCCGCCACACCACACGGAGCCGTTTGCGGACTCGCCCGCGATGATGGGAGGCTCGCACTAGCTTTCGTCACGCCGTTGGCGGACTCGCCCACGTTGACGGGAGGCACGCACCGGCAGTGCCGGTTGCCACCACACGCCGCGGAGCCATACGGACTCGCCCGCGACGACAGGAGGCGCGCACCGGCAGTGCCGGCCGCCGCCACACGCCACAGAGCTGAACGGACTCGCCCGTGATGACGGGAGGCGCGCACCGGCAGCACCGGTCGACACCACACGCCATGGAGCCGTACGGACTCGCCCAGGACGACGGGAGGCGCGCACCGGCAGCACCGGTCGCCGCCACACGCCGCGGAGCCGTACGGACTAGCCCGCGATGACGGGAGGTGCGCACCAACAGCACGGGTCGCCTCCACACGCCGCGGAGCCGTACGGACTCGCCCGCGACGACGGGAGGCGCGCACCGACAGCACCGGTCGCCGCCACACCGCACGGAGCCATATGCGGACTCACGCGTGACGGTGGGAGGCGCGCACCAGCAAGCATGGGCACTGGCAGTGGCACCTGGACGAAGGAGCCCACGACGATGACGACGCCCGCGTGGCTGACATGGGGAAGAGGGGGTGCCGCTGGCTGCCGCCACACGGGGACGGCGACAAGGACAGAGGGCCGATAGAGCTCGGCGCTGGCGGGTCGACGCACGAGAGCTCTATGACGTGGGGGAGCACCGGGTGGAAGAGGCAGGCGCAGGACCGCGCGGAGTCAGGCGCCGGCCGCCGGCAGGTCAACACACGGGAACCCGCAGGGCCGGTCGCCGCGCACAGGGAACGAGAGAGGGGAAGGGGCCTTGGGAGCTCGGTCGCGCGTGGAGACTGCAGATCCGGCTGTGGGGAAGCCGGATCCGCCCATCCCGGCGCCGGTTGCGCCCCGGCCGGCTCCCCCACAGGTGTGGATGAGGTGTGGTGTTGGAGGTTGGGGGCCTCAACGCCGGCACGAGCCGCTGCCGAGGCGACGGATCCAGGCTGTGGGATGGTGGATCCGTGCCCAGGGATGGCAGATCAGGCCGTGGACCGCCAGACACGAAGGCCGGGGCGGCGGCGCCATTTTCGGCAGCAGAGGTCGCGCACAGCAAGACGAAACGCCCCGCCGCCGCCGCCGCCCTCCTCACGGTCACCGGACTCCGGTGACGCGCTCCGGCGGCGGCGAGGAGACGGCCCTGGGGAGGGGGCGGCCCGGCGGTGAAGGGCGGCGGGTTCCGCCCGAGTCGCCCTGGAGACGAGGCGACACGGGCGTCCTTGTACGTGTCTTAGAAAAGCTTCATAATGAATTGAGACATACATACGTCATAGGAATTTTATTTCTTATCAAGAAGTACTTCCCAATTTGGCTCTTCAATTATACTTACATTGACTTATTACATCTGTTTGTTAGTTGATACTTGTTGGAGTTTGATGTTTGATAACTTTTTTTTTCTCCCGTTGCAACGTACGGGGTATGTTTGCTGGTTTAGAAAAAAAGGGGTTGCGTCTCACGAGCTCGAAAGACAAATATAAGGCGTTGGCCTAAGAGAGGCCTGGACGAAAATGAAGTACCGGCCCTGCCTTGTCGACCGGAAGAACCGTGCACCGCCTTTAAACTTTTTCCTCCCACGTCTATTTTAAAAGCCCAGCCTCCCTATCCAGCACCCTTCACCGCCTTTAAACTTTTTTAAACCATTGAGAGAAAAAGGAGGAGGGATCAGGACAAAAGAAAAGACATTTGAAGGAGAGCATGGCCTTGTTTAGTTGCCCAAAGTTGGGAGTTTTGGAAGTCAGGAGTTTTCTGTAGCATTTCGTTTGTATTTGTGAATTATTGTTCAAACATTGACTAATTCGGCTCAAAAGATTCGTCTCGCAAAATTAAAGCAAACTGTGTAATTAGTTATTTTTTTACCTACATTTAATACTCCATACATATATCAAAGATTTAATGTGATATGATGTGATGAGTAATCTTGCACTTTTTACTTTTTAGAGGTGTAAATTTGGTGCAACTAAACAAGAGCCATGTCCAACATGGTCACTAGACTGAGCAATTTACTTATCCAACGTAGTACTAATGCCGATGCACGTGGTTGAAAACGAAATACTGGCTGGCGCTGGCACGGAGAAGCAACGGAACGCAACGCACGGCGCGCCTGGCCGCCAGCCGTGTCGTGTCAGATCCAACTTCCTCGTCACCGCGTCTATTTAAAGCTCACACCTTTTAACTCCATCCCAGATCAGGGCCAGCCGACCACCCGCCGAAGATCAGAGAGAAATATCTCCCCTCTTTTCTCTCTCCACCGGATCGGTTCCTCGCGCTTCGTTTCGTTGTTCGTTGTGGGAGGAGAGGAGATCGACCGATCAATCGATCGAGAGGGAGGGAGAGGCCGTGGTGCGTGGAGGGGGCCGAGATTTTGCCGGTTTGGAGCCAGATAGGGGTATGAGCTGCTTCGCGCACCGCCGCTGCTCCGACGTCGCCCGCCGCCAGGACGGCCTCCTCGTCTTCGTCTTCTTCCTCTCGATTCCCATACGTAGTAGTAATTCTAATTTAAGTAATTGTAGTAGTAATCTCTTGTAAACTGCGCTCGCCTTTGCGTTTGCGTGTACGGGGACGGAGGGACCTTCTGTGGTTGATTGTTCCCCTTTCTCATCCTATTCTTCTCCTTCCACGGCGGCGCCGGCGGCTGGAATGGATCCTAATGGCCTCAAAACTGGAGGTATTGAAATTTCGCTTCATCTTTCTGTTTTTAATGAATTTTATCTCTCTATTTGTATTCTGTATATATACTGTCCCGGACAGAAAGGGGATTTTTTTTTGGTCCTGTTCTGTTTGTTATCGTTCCGATGAGCTCGTAGATATTTTGTTCTCACCTGTTTCCGTATGAATTGAGTGCTGATTACAAATAAATAAATGGAAATTCAGGCCTTTTGCTCCCGACCATTGAGAGGCGGTGCGCGTCGCCTCCATCCGTCATTGTCATCGGCGGTGGCATCTCGGGCGTTGCAGCTGCCCGTGCCCTCTCCAATTCTTCATTCAAGGTAACTGATCACTCACGGTTTTTCATCTACAGGTGATTCAGTACATGTGGTAGTGTTGCGTGCTCACTCATAGAGTCATATGGGGACACGTTTTAATTAATTAATGTTACTGAATTTGATTCCGCATGATCAGGTGACTGTTTTGGAGTCGAGAGATCGTATTGGCGGGCGCGTTCATACTGATTACTCATTTGGATGTCCAATTGATATGGGAGCCTCATGGTTTGTTGCCTTCACTCAAATTGCTTAACACAAGACACAACCACTGAAGTTTCTGCCCGCGTATGCTCTTACTTACTTTACTGTTGATTTTTGTCAAATTCAGGCTACACGGCGTGTGTAATGAGAATTCATTGGCACCATTGATCGGCTATCTTGGGCTGAGGTTATATCGCACAAGCGATGACAACTCAGTTCTGTATGATCATGATTTAGAAAGGTACTACCTAATATCTCGTACACTTAAAAGTTAAAATTCGTTTCCCATGCTAGTTTGTTCTTGCATCTCATTGTGTTCGTTGATCCCTCTGCAGCTATGCTCTCTTCGATAAGGATGGTAATCAGGTCCCAAAGGAGACAGTTGATAAAGTTGGAGAAACATTTGAGAGAATTCTTGAAGAGGTACATATTGAATTCTTTCGTGCGTTGTACTTTTTGGTACTTCTTTAAGAGCAATTTTAGCTCACTCTATCTATGGTATGTATTGCATTACAGATGGTGAAAGTGCGTGATGAGCAGGAACATGATATGCCACTGCTACAGGCAATTTCTATTGTGTTTGAGAGGCACCCCCATCTAAAGTAATTTTTCTTGTACCACAGTGTCATGTGTTATAACTGAATATAATTCATAGTACTTGACTGATATGGTTGCCACTTTGTAGGCTAGAAGGGCTAGATGATGAGGTCTTGCAATGGTGTGTCTGCCGGCTTGAGGCATGGTTTGCTGCTGATGCAGATGAAATATCTCTGAAGAACTGGGATCAGGTTCGTGCTATGCACTGGAGCAAAGTGAAAGCCAACCATCTAGTCACAATTTTCCTGTTTCCCGCGTTTTTCCTGTGAAATTAAACTGATTTCCGTGAAATTCCTGTTGGATTCCTATGAAATTCCTGCATTTCAAAGGGGCCCTTAGAAATTTAAGTTCTACTAGGACAGGATTTGGCAGGTTAATTCAAGTTGTTTCAGTCGGACTAACCTTTCATCCCTTTTTGATCTGCAGGAGCGTGTTCTTACTGGTGGACATGGACTGATGGTAAATGGATACTATCCTGTTATTGAAGCTCTTGCTCAAGGTCTTGACATCAGGCTTAACCAAAGGTTTGTTATTTCGCACATCTTATATTGCTGGATCTGGATTTTTACTCTTGCCAAGCACGTGGTTCGAGGGAAATTTTAGTTGAACAGAGCACTAGCAAATATAAGCATTTGAATCTTCATTCTGTCTTGAAAGGAATTACCACAGTTCTATTCTTTACTTTATCCAGTGATAAATAAATTTTGCTTACTTTGCTTGAATGATGATGATATTCAGGGTCACCAAAATTACTCGTCAATACAATGGAGTCAAGGTCACTACTGAAGATGGCACAGGCTACTTCGCTGACGCTTGCATAATCTCTGTGCCACTCGGTGTGCTCAAGGCGAACATAATAAAGTTTGAACCTGAGCTGCCCTCATGGAAGAGCTCTGCCATCGCAGACCTTGGTGTTGGTGTTGAGAACAAGATCGCTATGCACTTCGACACGGTCTTCTGGCCCAATGTTGAGGTGCTGGGAATGGTTGGACCGACGACTAAAGCATGTGGGTACTTCCTGAACCTGCACAAAGCCACCGGCAATCCGGTCCTCGTCTACATGGCTGCCGGAAGGTTTGCCCAGGAAGTGGAAAAACTGTCGGACAAAGAAGCTGTCAGCTTGGTCGTTTCTCACCTGAAGAAGATGCTTCCAGATGCCACTGAACCAGTAAGTTGCCTTGCGCATGACTGTTGCATTCTGCTTGACTTGTGTTAAGGCAATTTCTGAATGTTTGTCCATGCGGCTGACACATTTGCATCTGGTGATATCTTGCTGTTGCAGACGAAGTACTTGGTGTCACGCTGGGGCTCCGACCCGAACTCTCTGGGGTCCTACTCGTGCGACCTGGTCGGGAAGCCGGCCGACGTGTGCGCGAGGTTCTCTGCCCCCGTGGAGAACCTGTACTTCGCCGGCGAGGCGGCCAGCGCTGAGCACTCGGGGTCGGTGCACGGCGCGTACTCGTCGGGCATTGCCGCCGCCGAAGAATGCAGGAAGCGCCTCCTGACGCTGAAGGGCATCCCGGACCTGGTCCAGGTCGCGGCGTGGGAGGAGATGGCCGGAGCTGTGGCTCCCCTGCAGATTTGCAGGACCTGACTACCTGAGTGAGCTCCGATCAGTGTGATTCAGTGGCTGCCTTGGAGTGGTTTGATCGCTTCGCTGCTTCCTGACGACTGCGAAGTCTTTTATATTGTGTAAAATGTTATATTATCTTGAACGTGTGTATTGTCTGAAGATTGACTGGTATTGAACTCAAGTGTTATTCTTTCATACTTAAGAAATTATTTGAGTCCTATCGCTTGAGCTTATCAGCTAGAATCAAACCCTACTTTACGGCCGTGAAACAATGCTTTTCTCTCACATTAATCAGTCGAAACAGTGTTTTTCAGCAAAAAAAAAAAAAAAAACATCACACGAACAGGCCATATACATTGTCATGATATATCTAGTTAAAAAGCTGAGTCCTTTTCCAAAATTATATTACCTAAAGCATGTCTGTATGTATACGATGGTTTTTCGTTCTGTCGTTAGCTGTGTGCTTGTTAGTTGTTGTTACTGGTACAAAATGAGCTGTTGAGCGAGAGCAATGCTGGTACAAAATGAGCTGTTGAGCGAGAGCAAGATGTAACGTTACACGCGATAGCTGACGCTCGACCAAACCTTGCCCTTGCCGCAGACAGGCACGTGCACCTTCCCATGATCCAGGTCAAAGACAACAGTAGGCCTGGTGGCCGGGGTGTTTTGTCGTTTTCTTTTCTCGTATTCATTTTTTTTGTTCTGTCTGCCTTTCTTGGATTTGAACTATTTCCTCTTCTTATAATAATATAAAGGGGTGCAATTTTCTTGCGTATAAAAAAAGCACGATAGCAAGCAAATTCAACTTCGCTAGATTCAGGACATAAATTTAACTTTGCCATAAAATTTGACAAGTTTATAGCTAAAAGAATAGCGCTCACCAAGTGGAGTTCAATGCTTTGCAAATTTCTTATAAAAAGACGCATGGTAATTCATTCTTGACTCGAGTCGGTGAATACTTAGCACGTACTACTTCCTCAGCTTTTTTTTAAATGAAAGATTGAATGGCAGGGCGTTCAAGTTAAACTTATCTAATTTTATTTAAATTCACTAAAAAAATATATCAACATACTCCTTACGTTCAATAATAGAAGTCGTTATAGAATTCGTGTAGATGAAACTTTCTCAATTTTGATTAGGTTTGTAGAAAATACGTGCAACATTTATATCTTCAAATAAATTTATTATGAAAATATATTTAACGATCTATGTAATGATACTAATTATGTATTATAAATATTAATATTTTTTAATATATAATTGGTTAAAGTTAAAAAAACTGATTTAAAAAACGAAAACGCTTTCTATTTTGAGATATAGGGAGTATATATAGAATAAAAAAAAGGGAAGGGAGTATCTTGCGTGCCCATCATGGCGTCATTTTCCAACTCACAATGCTCCTGCTGATGCCACGACCCACGCCTCCACGACTACTATCACGCCTCCGGTGCCAACAGCTAGAGCCACTCGTGCATTTGCTTCGTTTTTTCTTTCTTTCTTCAAATTGACCGAAATTCGCTGGTGCATGTGCGTTTCCTGTTCTATCTCCGTCACCCTTTTTCCTCCCTCCCCCACCTTCTTCTTCCTCCTCCCGTCCCCGACGGCGTGCTTCCTACTGCCGCCGTCGGCGAGCTGCTCATCCGCAGCATGACTCCGCATCCTGGCCGCCTCGTCCTACCTCCGGCGGCTGCTTCTCCCTGAATCCCGCTGCCCGCCATCCACCACGCCGCCTCTGCCAGCACGCGGGCCTCTGCCGCACCGCGCGGCTTCCAGACGCCTCGCTCGTCCATCCTCTCCACCTCCCTCCGCGGGCGAAAGTTCGGCCCCGCTCCGTCGAGCTCCCTCCGCTGTTCCGGGTGAGTCTACGCGCCACCTCCTCGTCCGGCCGAGTCCTTGTCGATTTTAGGCGCGCGCCCCTCCGCCGGCGGGCTGTGCTGCGCGGACGCGGTTCGCGGATCCGGCGGCCGGATCTGCGCCGTTCTCACCGCCGGCCTGTTCCCTCTCCTCGCGGCTGTGCGCACACCCCCTACTCCACTACCTACTTTTCCTGGGCCGCGTGGAGTGGAGTGGAGACCAGGGTTGGCCTTGGCCCTCCGCTGGCCGCTTAGATCCTCCCCGTCCTGACCTCTTTTACTCATCTTGCTGCAGATCTGCTGGAGCGCCAGCAAGGCGGCCTCGCCATCCCTCCGGAGTCCGGAGCAGCAAGGTAAGGCCTGCTCGTTCTGTACTTCGCCTAGTCTCCTCTAGGTTTGGGCCTTTGGTGTTGCTTTGAATTTGAAAAAATGCTAGTAACCGGCGATTACAAGGATGCAACACAAGAATGGTCATCAGGCCTGTGTATAGAATTATGTATCCCCAAATTAGTTAAGTGTTATTAGTGAGCAGCTAAGTGCAGTTACCCACATTAGCAAAATGGGAGAAATATTAGAAGCAGCACTGGTGCAGGCCACCAGCGTCTGAAGTTTATGAACCCGAAATTTCGAAACCTGAACCTTCTGACTCTGATACTACAACTACTTAATGAATGAACTTGTGACAGTAGCACTTGATTAATCATGATACTACTATGTGAAATACATTTCAAATAAACTACATTGATGATCTGTTTTCAGTGTGCTTAAGATAGCTATATTAAGGAATAAGGATACATACAAAACATAAAAAAGGTCACAATCCAGGAAATTTGTCCCACTCTCTCTCCTCGTCATTCCCTCTTTCTCTCTCCAGACTACAAGACAACAAGCAAGGGTGCCGTGCACTCCTACTGGCCACTGGATTGGTGGTCTTCGTGCGCTCACATCAACTACTCGCCATCCTCTCGGCTCCTCCTTTGGACATGGCATTCCACTGCCTAGCGCCACCCGCTCCCAGTCCCAGGTAGCACTCCCCCAAGGCAAACCAAGAGAGCAGGGGAGAGACGACCGGTGGTCGGAGGGTGTATGAGGAACTAGGAATACGAGATGGCGAGTCCCTGGCTTTCCCCTTTCTCGCTGCTGCTGGATCCTCCACCCACCATTGTGGCTGCTTCTCTTGTGGTCGAGTGGAGTGGCGGCGGAGATCTGTCTGTGCGGTCTTTAGTTGGGTTTCCCTTTTGCTGGTGACTAATTAATTCATCATAGCTTTGCTGTCTTGGATGGATTGTTTCCGTTTGTGCAAGAGCTGGGTTGGTGCTCTCAATCAGATCCAAATCTTTCATCTGTCTTCCCCTCATTGGTTGTGAACTCTTGTGCTTCACAGTGATGTATGACAGCTAGTCTGAATCCGTTCATTCATAGTTCCATTAGATTATTTGTTTTGTTCTTAAACCAAAAACTGATACTAGTTGGTGCCGCCCATGGGAACCCAATCAAGCTGGGGACTGGGAAGCTAGTGCAGCTTTCCCAAAAATATTTGGGTTCAAGAAAATGATGTAGGATTTAGGTCAACTTTTACTCCTTTCCCTTCTGCTAGTAAGGTTTATTACATTCTGTATAGGAAATTGGATTAGGGTTGTTCATTTACTGATTGGGGTTATGATAAGTTGATAACTAGAACACCGACTACCTCTAGTTTCCATATCAATGTTTTGGTTAGGCACCTTATTTAGTTATTACGTTGTGATTTGTGTGGTGGAGATCCACATGGAAAGATATGTGCTAGGGAGTAGGGAATACAAGCAAACGATCGTTAAGGATCCTGCATCTACCTACTGGTGCAATAGTCAATGTGTTTCCTGTTTTGTGGGAGCTTGCATTGGCAACTCTAATATTTTGTGTATAATTTAAAACTCGTATAGTTTCCCCATTTTGCTGCTCATTAATCCTCCCCCCTTAGATACATGCATTTCCATTATAAATCATTTGCCGAGTGCCCTCCAAGATGGTCTACTGTAGTACTATAGGTATTTGAGGCATATCAATCAAATTTTCATCACTATATGTATTCATACCTTTCAATGTTCTCTGGACAAGTTATTTATTCAAGTTTGGCCTATCATGGCAACTGTCCATTTGTTTTACCCTCCCATGTTATAGGTATCTTAGCTCCATTTTAAGTTTTTGATTAATAATAATAAAAAAGAGGATAAGATATGCTCTTGTTGCATGCCTTATCTTCCCAAGTTGAACATTGATTAATCTGCAGGATAGGAGATGATGTGGATCCTTGGTATTGTGCATGTTTCTACTGAATTCATGCTTCCCTTGTGTACTTTTACTGGTAATCTGTTTTCATTATGGAAAATTTTTACCACTATAGTCTTCTTGATATAGCATTCTTCCACATGTTGTTATTCCACTGGGAGGAATGGTACTTCTTCCACATGTTGTTATGGTACTTTATTCTTTTAACATCATTCCTATTGCAACGCCTTTTGATGCTGGCTGCACGCAACCATTTTTTTTACTTATTCTCTTAGACAATGCACTGTGGTGCTGTGATATTAGTTTTATATTCTCTCTGATTCGTGAACTTGTAGGTTTAATTCTTGATGAGCCATTTTCTGTTGATGACCTATGGATCTTTTTTCCTGTGGTCCGTCCTGCATCAACTTTAAAAGAGTTAACACCTATTTTTTTCATCTTTAGGTTTCTGCTCTCTCATGCTGCAGTTTTACAACGTTGAAGGCTTCAAAAATCTACAGAACTAGATGATACTTGCATAATGCAGCCCTCAGATATTTGGAAGGCGCATGCTGGTTCATCGCAGTCAGAGGGTTCGGGTCTGGATATGGAGAGGAACGGATGCAATCATAATTGCTGTCCATCTCCTCTCCAACCAATTGCCTCAGCTGGTCAGCACTCTGAAAGCAGCGCTGCATACTTTTCTTGGCCTACATCTACACTAATGCACGGCTCAGCTGAAGGCCGTGCTAATTACTTTGGGAATCTACAGAAGGGTGTACTACCAGGACATCTTGGTCGCTTGCCAAAGGGTCAGCGAGCCACCACCTTACTTGATTTAATGATTATAAGAGCATTCCACAGCAAGATTCTCCGCCGATTTAGTCTTGGTACAGCAATAGGCTTTAGAATCAGGGAAGG